CTTCAGAAAGAATATATATATATGGCAAGAACCCTACACCAAAGTTATCACTTAAATTTATCCTTGTATACAGAGTATTTGGCACTGGTGATGGCTTTCTTGTAGGCAAAGCAAACAAAACGGCTAATGGGTCATCAAAAGGAATCAATATGTTCTTTTCCTAATCATTTAAAATAATAGCCAGATGCAACTAAAGGACAAAGGTTCCTCTTGCATCAGTGAATTATAGAACAAACAACTCAACAAAGAGAGATATCAACTTACAATTTCTTCATAGGTCGTCAAACCAAATCGAATTCCAACTATTTCTCCATCTAAAACAGCCAAAGATGAATTCTCCTCCATCTCTAACTTTAGAAATACTGCCAAGGAGTTAGCAACAAAAATTGTTAACAAAAACTAACCTTTTAGGATAACCTTTAAAAGAATTTATATATGCAAGAGTGTTTCGAGAGTGAGAGATCCTCTCTGTTCCATGTCTTTGTTGGTTCATATGATTAGTACTAAACCATGATACTATAGTGACCAAGAGATTCCTGATAGCAGAAAGAAAATCTTTTGCCGTGATCTTGAAGGGGGAAGTGACTAGGATTGTTCGTTAGTCTAATAGGAGCATTGTCCAATATCAGACTAGATCAAATCAGACCGTCTGAACCTGGAATATTTTTTTAATTGTTGGGACCAGATACTGGACCCAGTAAAGACACAACCAGACCAGACCAGTCCTATTCAGGCCCAGGCTTTTTCCACTTTCTGAAACCTCAATTCGATTATCCATAATCAGTTCTCAAATCATAATATGTTGCATTTGCAAAGGAGTTAAGATGTTTCAGTTGAGGCAATCTAGACTAGAATGAGAAGAAAAAAAAATAAAGATTGGATTAATGTGGAGAAAAGCGGTTGACAATTTCTTTCTTTAAACAGTCAAAGAGATTGCAAAAATGTTTACACTTAAAGAAATCCGATGAAAATATATGACCTTAACCACCTCAAACTAGGATTAAAGTAAATAAAAACTAGCACATATAAACAAAGCAACCACCTTCTTATCGAGACAAACTTAATTACCACATCGAGGGCAAGAAGAAGAGACCCAACCAAGAGGTTAACAGACCAGAAGACTAAAAGGTGGAGACTAAGGCATTCTACAACTTGCCTAAACAAAGTGAGAGCAGTGACTTTGCAGTATCGCCGAGACTGCATAAGTGGCCGAGGCGGTCCCTGGGTGGACTGGTGGCATTAGTCGCGCTGCTCTGCAACTGACTATGGACCAGAGATCCTGGTTCCTGGAGTGAGGTTGAGTGAGAGATGATGAAAAGAGACTGAACAGAGAGAAAGAACTGACAGGTGAGAATAAAACAAGAGTGAGAAATACTAGAGGGTAACATTCTGACAGAAAAATAAGTAATACACAAAAAGCAACATATTAATTCTCTTTAGAAAGCAGAAGAGAAGACTACGAACATCGACTGAGTTATTTCCCGAGTAAAATCCCACATGCAAATATAGAAAAGCCGCTTGATGGACTGTAACAATGAATTGAAAAGACACACAGAGAAGGCGGAACAGAACCAAGAAGACAAACCAGCAGGGCTTAGCTTGTTTACATGACGAAATGAAGGAACAGACTCGGCGAATAAACCTTCCAATAAGTTTATTTTCTTTTTCCTGATTTCGCCCTTCATTTTCATTAACAAAAGCAAAAGGAAGAACCAAATTTACCTGAAAATATCTGCTCGTCTCTGCTTCAGCTGCTATAGGAACTGTTAACCTAAAAGGAAAACCCAAGTTAAACCCCAAAAAACAGGTGTAGGGAAAATGGGTATGGAATCGAATAAAGAGAAAGCTAAACCGTACCTCGTTTCCCGAGAAAATGAAGCAAGAGAAAGAAAATAACTCCATAAGAAAAACAGAAAAAAAAAATGCCCATGGAAAAATGTAGCCTCCCTATTCAAAAAATTTTCTCAACACAATGCCGCTAAGTTTCCACGCTTTTTTCCCGTTCCTTCAACTTTCTCGGCATGATCCAACCAAAAAAGGAAAAAATGAGAAAGAAAAGTAGCAAGAAAATACCCAAATTGCTAGCCTTCTCAGCAGTATTGACTCATTGAGAGCGGAAGCAGCGAGCCCTAAATTGGCTGGAGAAAAAAGGAACAACAGAAGCAGAAAAGGCCGACTTACTATAGACCAACCGAAGTGTCCGTTTAGCTCTAGTTTTCCCTCTCCTTCTCGCAGGAGAAAGAAAATTAACGACTGCGTCCCTGGTTGAGAGAGAGGGAGAGAGAGAAGGAAGTGAAGAGAAATGAAAAGTAGAATTTTACTTCTAAAATAAATTTATAGGGAATGTAAAAAATAAGGATTAAAAAATTAATTCTATAAAAACTGTTTAAATTTTCATTTTAAGTATTTTCTTTTTAAGAAAAAATGATTCCTAAACTTTTAAAAAGTGACTCACTTTATCTTAAACTTTTACATCATGTTCG